CTAGTGCATGCCGAACCGTGTGTGGAGAACGGTACGGTTCGATTTTTTTACCGAGAACCATTGCACCCCTAACATATATATATATATATATATATATATATATAAATATAAATGGTGCCCCAGAACTGTCAGGTTACAAACATTCTTACAAACATCTTCCTTCGGATTTAGAAGAGCAAAGAAAATCATACAGGTTTGGAACAACTTGAGGGTGAGTAAATGATGACAATATTCATTTTGGGTTGGACTATCCTTCTTGGGATATTATAAATCTGCAGAATATAGCATAAAAGACATGTGGGCAACCTTCATGCTTTGTGGTGGGAGCATGTTCGAGTACTGTACTGTAACAGAACGCCAATAATGTTACCTCTGGTATGTGATTTGTAGTTGCAGGAGGTGAGGATGGCGCAGGTGCAGTTCGGTAAAGTGCCCGTCCTGGACTTCAAGTTAAACTGCAAATCAACAGCAGTTGAGGTTTCTCTTTGGCGAGATGAGGCTCTTATCGAGCTGTTAAATGGAGACACTGTTGAGCTGACCCCACCTCCGCCCAAACACTAAACAGAATGGAAGAATTCAATTCAATTCTTCCACACACACCACTGTAAAGGTACACTATGTAATGCATAATATTATTTCTTTAAATCAAGTCTCTCTCAAACTGGAGCCCCTCCCATCACTGCACACATCTGCCATATTGGTAACATAAGTCAACACAACTTGCTTATAAATCTGCCTTTTGTTTTTGTATATTTTATTATCATCTATTATTATTTTTAATGCTCATGTCATGCTAATAAAACAGGTTCAGTTTTACATAAAACAGTATGTGTACTGGTATTCACAAATATAGTAATACCAGTCATTTTTGACCTTCTGGGGGTGGATTACGAGGAGTACGTTGTCCCAGACACAATGTATTCAGGAGACATTGAGGACCTTGTGGAACAGCTGCCACTGAAAATGAAAATAAAACATTAACAAACGGGTGCTAAGCATCAAAGAATAGAATTTAAAAAGAAAGTTCTGTGTTAAATTATATAGGTTAAGGCGTTTTTAAAAAAAGATTTGCATGCAGGAGGTAAGATTTGTAAAAGTGTACACAAGGTTGCAAGACTAAATTAATTTTGCAAACGCAAGAGAAGATTTGTAGAGATGGAAATTGTGTTTTTTCAAATTTGCAGCATTTGACTGTTTTTCATAAGTGTAATGTTAATTCATGTATTATGAAACTGCAGCTTCATGCTAACGCAAAATAAACATGATCTGTATTATTTTGACCTTTATTTTTCTGCAGTTTCACAAAACATGAATTACACTTGCAAAAGTTTTTTTTTCCTCACTTGAACGCGATTTCCACCTTTACGAATCCAGCCTGTATCTATCTATCTATCTATCTATCTATCTCTGACAGACTATATTGCCTTCAAAATTTCAAGCTTTAAGCTTTAAAACTACTTTAAACTTCAAACTATTTCAGACCGTCAAACTTTTTCAAACTTTCTGGTCAGGCTTTCTCAAGCCAACTTAAAGTTTGTCTTGACAAACTTTTTTATCTAGTTACGTTCAAAATCACTATCCAAGATTACGCCCGCATTTTTAATGGAGGATTTAAAGTAAGGAAGTAAAGAATCCAATCCTGTGTTAGGGGCCACATGGGTACCATTCAAGCCAAACACCAGAATTTCAGTTTTACTCTCATTAAAATGAAAATAAAAAAGCCATCCTAGTTTTAATGTCATTGAGGCAGTCCAACAATAATTTTAAACAGCTGATATCTTTTCATTTCAATTGCAGATAAAGTTGTGTGTAGTCTGCATAGCAATGAAACAAAATGCCATACTTCCTTCGAATAGGCTCTAGTGGAAGCACATAAAGGGAAAACAACATTGTGCCAAAAATAGATCCCTGAGGGACTCCACAAGGAAGGTGAGCTGACGGAGACATAAATTCTTCAAGGTGGACAGAAAACTTTCTATTAGACAGAAAAGACCTAAACCACTCTAAAGCCGAGAGATCAGAATGTTATAATTTATGGTGTCAAATGCAGCTGTGAGGTTTAAAAAGCATAAGTATGGCAGAATCTCCAGAGTCTGTGATCAATAAGAGATCATTAAAAACTTTTAAAAGTGCAGTTTCCGTACTGTGAAAGCCTTTAAATCAAGAAATACCTCTAAAATGGCATGTGAATCTATGCCAGTATTATAATGCAAGTACTGTTTGTATTTTTATATGTTTGACCAGTTAATTAAGTTACTTATTTTGCCTCATCTCAACCACTACAGCCATGTGGGACCCAACTGAGCGACCCCCTTTCAATCTCGTCAACATCTTCCATGGAGCCCCACGTGGGTTAGTCAAAATGGCTTAATACAATGAATATTTACTGTTTATATAATCTGCACTACATAGTGTTAAAATTAACACTGAAATCAATGTCAAATAAAAGTCATTAAATCTACCAAGATCTCAACAGAGGATGATTAATTCAAATAAATTCAAACACAGCACTACCAACTTCACTTATAAAAAAGTTTATTTATTTCATATGGCTACAAAAGTTCTTGGAAAATTAACATGAATACATCATGACAGTCCTGATTTTAATTGCAGGAGCAGAGATACTTCAGTCTTTCAGCCATCTAGTTCCTGTTGCAGCATCAAAATGCATCTTACACTGAGCTGACAGACTATATTGCCTTCAAAATTTCAAGCTTTAAGCTTTAAAACTACTTTAAACTTCAAACTATTTCAGACCGTCAAACTTTTTCAAACTTTCTGGTCAGGCTTTCTCAAGCCAACTTAAAGTTTGTCTTGACAAACTTTTTTATCTAGTTACGTTCAAAATCACTATCCAAGATTACGCCCGCATTTTTAATGGAGGATTTAAAGTAAGGAAGTAAAGAATCCAATCCTGTGTTAGGGGCCACATGGGTACCATTCAAGCCAAACACCAGAATTTCAGTTTTACTCTCATTAAAATGAAAATAAAAAAGCCATCCTAGTTTTAATGTCATTGAGGCAGTCCAACAATAATTTTAAACAGCTGATATCTTTTCATTTCAATTGCAGATAAAGTTGTGTGTAGTCTGCATAGCAATGAAACAAAATGCCATACTTCCTTCGAATAGGCTCTAGTGGAAGCACATAAAGGGAAAACAACATTGTGCCAAAAATAGATCCCTGAGGGACTCCACAAGGAAGGTGAGCTGACGGAGACATAAATTCTTCAAGGTGGACAGAAAACTTTCTATTAGACAGAAAAGACCTAAACCACTCTAAAGCCGAGAGATCAGAATGTTATAATTTATGGTGTCAAATGCAGCTGTGAGGTTTAAAAAGCATAAGTATGGCAGAATCTCCAGAGTCTGTGATCAATAAGAGATCATTAAAAACTTTTAAAAGTGCAGTTTCCGTACTGTGAAAGCCTTTAAATCAAGAAATACCTCTAAAATGGCATGTGAATCTATGCCAGTATTATAATGCAAGTACTGTTTGTATTTTTATATGTTTGACCAGTTAATTAAGTTACTTATTTTGCCTCATCTCAACCACTACAGCCATGTGGGACCCAACTGAGCGACCCCCTTTCAATCTCGTCAACATCTTCCATGGAGCCCCACGTGGGTTAGTCAAAATGGCTTAATACAATGAATATTACTGTTTATATAATCTGCACTACATAGTGTTAAAATTAACACTGAAATCAATGTCAAATAAAAGTCATTAAATCTACCAAGATCTCAACAGAGGATGATTAATTCAAATAAATTCAAACACAGCACTACCAACTTCACTTATAAAAAAGTTTATTTATTTCATATGGCTACAAAAGTTCTTGGAAAATTAACATGAATACATCATGACAGTCCTGATTTTAATTGCAGGAGCAGAGATACTTCAGTCTTTCAGCCATCTAGTTCCTGTTGCAGCATCAAAATGCATCTTACACTGAGAACGAGTTGCTTTGGCATTTTGGTAGTTGGCTGGACCTTACTGATGAAAGAATATACATGTTGATTAACATGTTGCTTACCATTTAAAATTCCATTATGAAATCAAATGTACCTACAGCAACAGAGATGGCATGGGCTCAAGACAAACTTGACAGACAAACTGACAGAAAGAAAGAGCTCAGGTAAAAACACAATTCACCGATTCGTCTGAAAGAAGAAAGTCATATACAGCTAGGATCACTTGAGGGTGAGTAATTTATGGGCTTATTTTCATTTTTGGGTGAACTAACCCTTTAACCCCCCCCATTTTGCATCTACATGTAAATTGCACAAACATTTGATCTTAAGATGTGAAAGATCCCATGCATTTACCCACCTATTGACCCTCCCCTTGAAAAAATGACAGAAGTGGTCGAAAGTGGACAAAAGGGATGGTGCTATGGAGACTGCCTATTTGTGATGCGATCAAACAAAACACATTTTAAACCCAGGTGTAAACAAGGCCTAAATCCGCTGCTCAGGTATTTTGAACTATATCAGGCGTGCTTCTGTGAACCTCAAGATTGTCTTTTTTCTGCAAGTCTTTCCACAGTGATGGCACAGCAAAGGCTTCTCTCTGGTGTCATTACATGACTCCATGTCACACTGATGACATAAATACAGTTCTCTCATATGTGAAAACTCATGTGGGACTTAAGGCCTGTTTTATACCTGAAACTCTTTCCGCAGTGACCACATGTAAATGGCTTCTCTCCAGTGTGAATTCTCATGTGCCTGTTATGGCTTCCTTTTCGGTTGAAACTTCTTCCACATTGTTGGCAGGTGAAAGGCTTCTCTCCAGTGTGAATTCTTATGTGGTCTTCAAAGTGTCGCATATGATTGAAACTCTTTCCACACTGAGGGCATGTGTAGGGTTGCTCTCCAGAGTGAATTCTCATGTGGTCTTCAAAGGGTCGTTTTTGACAGAAACTCTTTCCACACTCAGAGCATGTGTAGGGTTTCTCTCTATGAGTTCTCATGTGGACTACAAGGTTTTCATGTTGATCAAGAGAACAGGTGTAAGGCTGCTCTCCATAGTGAATTCTCATGTGTCTGTTAAGGCTTCCTTTTTGAGTGAAACTTATTCCACACTGTTGGCAGGTGAAAAGGCTCTCTCCAGTGTGAACGGTCATGTGGCAATGAAGGTTACCTTTCCGGTTGAAACTTCTTCCACACTGTTGGCATTTGTAAGGCTTCTCTCCAGTGTGAACACTCATGTGGGCTCCAAGGTTTCCAAGCTGAGAGAAATTCTTTCCACACTGTTGGCATGTGTACGGCTTCTCTCCAGTGTGAATTCTAATGTGTCTTTTAAGACTTATTCTTTGACTGAAATGCTTTCCACATTGTTGGCAGACATAAGGCTTCTCTCTTGTGTGAATTCTCATGTGTCTTTTAATACTTTCTGTTTGACTGAAACTCTTTCCACACTGTTGGCAGGTGAAATAACATCTTCTTCCTGTCTTTTGAGCCCTTTTTCTTGAGGAAGTCTTTTCAGTCTGTGAACAACTAAAAGATTTTTCTCCATTTATGAAATCATGATCTTTCTCTTCCATTTCATTCAGTACTTCACTCTCCTCTTTCAATGCCATCAGGTCTACGGTTAAAAAAGACAAACAAATGTTAACCCCAGTTTAATAACACAGAACATCAAAACATTCAAATATGTAAAGTGTCAAGACTAACATACAACTACATCTTATATCCACTAAGCAACTGCAAGAGGTGTTGCATGTAATCTGAGAAACCCTTCCTAATATTGCTAACTCCTCACTTATTTAGGACATCTCAAAAACTATCAAGCTGGCATTGAAACCCTCTATTTAAATAAATAAATAAATAAAATAAAAAGTTTGACCCAGGAGAGGGGGGGGGGGGCGTTTTGTCAGAATTCACTCACCGCTGAAAGCGCCGCAGTTTTTAAGTGCAGTTTTGCACGCTCGTGAGTCGTGAATCGTGAATCATCTCATGATTAAGTGCAGACGCGATGTAAATAAGAGATTAATTGTGCAGTTTAGAGAGCTTCATTGATTATAACGGAACTTTGTAAGATTGCGATGAACGAAGATGAGTGAAGCTTTTTAGTGATAAAGGGAGTGCGCTTTGCGCATTTTCTAGGGTATATAATCTATTCAGAATTTGTATGAAACTTTCATTTTTCGGACACATAGGCTACACCCTGCAAAGTTTCGGGAATGACATCCGCATATTTATGCGGGACTCACTCTCGAAATAGCAGTGATTGGCAATGGACAGAACATAAAATATGTAGATTTAATTCTGGAACCGGTCCTGGCCAAACCTCCACAGACAGCGCGCGTCCCAAGCGAGATCTAATTCACGAACCAAAAGCGTGTGTAAACTTTATTGAGATCGGGACATATCAACCCGTAATTTCATTTCATTTCCAGTAACGGTCAGTAGAAAGTTCAGCAATGAATGGTATGCGATTTATGACAGAATATAGTCCCACAACTGATCGTTTATTTTTTTCCTCACGTGTCTCGCCTTTGGTAACAACGATTCAAAATGGAAACATTTCAAGTGACACGGGAAAAAGACACGGAAAACTTCAGTGAACATCAGAAAAGCAGCATGCACATTTCTGGTTAAAAATTAAAGGCCATCAACTGACATAAATATAAATTTTCTTGCCCCCCCCTGACTCAAGAGTCAAATGTCGCCCATGCTCATTGGTGTTCTTCTTCCGCTCGAGTCTATGGAAGCCTGTAGAACCACTTGCAGGAAAGTTGTGAAATTTGGCACACATCTAGAGAACATTGCAAGTTTGGAGTCTCTAACTTAAACTCTCTAGCGCCACCAACAGTTCAAATTTGCACTCAGATTTATGCTAATAACTTTTGAACCATAGAAGCAAAATTCTTATTTTCTTCTCATTCTTCGGCTCATGCGGAGTCAAATGGACAACAAAAAGGCAGTGATTTTATTGGATATTATCATGAAAGAAAAACTTGACTTGGTGTGCTTAACGGAAACATGGCACAGACAGTCAGAAAGACTTTTGTTTAATGAACTTCCTCCCACTGGCTATGGATTATTTGATTCCCCACGACCCGGTGGAAGGGGGCGCAGGTATCATTGCGCTGTATAAGAAACAATTCAAAATAAGTCCTGTGGTCATTCCCTATTTTAATTATTTTGAATGTCTTGTTCTGAGTGTCTCTGCACCCATATCTACTATCATTGTTACAGTCTATAGATCTCCTAAGACAAAGGAAGATTTCATGCCTGAATTTGCTGATCTGCTGTCTATGTTGTGCCTCAAGTTTGAGAGAATTCTGATCCTGGGGATAAGACTTTAACATCCATGTTGACAATAGCCGCTTCTTCAAGCAGTCTCAGGTATTTTCATAAGCATAACGTGTTTTTATTATAGCAATGTTTAGCATATGCAGCATTTAACATCGCGTTTAATCAATTTCTGCCTAATACGGTGATCAGAATTCCCATCGGGTCACAATCGCAAGTTAATTCAGACACTCGCTGGTGTCTGAAAGAGAGTTTTGCCATTAAAATGGTTTTAAATGTCTGAAATATTGATGCTAGTTAATAGCTTGATATGAAAACGTGGGAAATGAACAGCAGTGCCGACCGACTCTAACTTGGATAAACGCCACCTTTGTTCATGACAGTGGAAACGTGGCTAATAAAGTCTCTGCAGTGGCAAAAGACTGTTTTTACTGAGTGTATTGAACTGAAAGAGCTTGTGGACTCACTGTATCTCTGCAAAGCTTTGACATATTGACACCACAACAACTTGGTAACATCGCCAGCTATCAGTCAGAAGTGATCAACTGTTAAATCATATTACTATTGATTGTATTTACGCTAGGGCTGCACGATAAATCGAAATGGAATCGAGATCGCGATTCGACAGAAGCTGCGATTGTCATGCGTATCTTTCAGTGAAGCACGGTTCTGTGATCAGCAGTAAATCTCCATCCAAAGGCCAGAGGGCGCTCTCGCGCTGAAACTCCAAATACGCCTCGCAGAAGAAACCCAGAAAATGCCTATAGCTGCAGCTGAATAAACAGAAGATTAAACTGCTTTCATTGATTCAACGTGAATAATAAACACCAATGCCTTTATCACTGCTTAGAATACTATGAAATATGTTGCGTGCCTTATTCTGTGTAAGAAGCCACATCATCTCACAGAAGGATTTATTTCAAACACTCGACTGACGTTATGAAGTGAGTTTGGAGTAAAAATATGTTATTAAATGTGGTATTTTCACATGCTTTCAGATGGAGCAGCATTTATTACACAGAGTCGTAGTTCACTGAGAAGCTACGCAAACAGCTGTCATTATCGCGCAATAAAATCGTCTGCGATTTTTTTTTGCGTAACTTGTCAGAGAACTACGGCTATGTGTAGTAAATTCTGCTCCATCTGAAAGCACATGATGATGATTTCCTGCTGATTACAGAACCGGCTTTTTTAACAAAATGCGCATAACAATTGAATTTGCACTTTTTTTTCTGCCATTTTGACGAAAATCATCTTTAAAAAAATGTCTTTAATTGCTCATTGTTGCGGTTGGTCTGATGCTCACTGCCATGCTTGCTCCTCATTCTGCCTCTGTTGTGCTTAGTCCCTTAATTGCTGCTTGCAGCTAAATTTATAAACTGATCTCAAGCTCTCTTTTCTACATCTTCTAGGGGTTAAGATGCAAAAAAAAAAGAAAGAAAATAAAGAAACGTGGGGGAAAAGAAACAAGGACAAACTCCTGTGTTAACAGCGTTCTGACACATTGTGTAATTTAAAAAAAAAATGCCTCTGGACAGATTGGCAAAGTAAATGTTATCTCCTGGCGGGGAGTTGGTGTTTATGGAAATAAAATTAATACATATATTTTATATGGTAGCACATAAAAAGCTATAAAATATCATGTCATGCCTCTTGTCTTTTTAAACTCTGGCAGCTCTTTTCACTCTTGCCTGGTTTTATGGGGAATAACGATGCTGTTGGACACAGAGCCATCTGTTCGTTACAGCAAATAGTAATCTTTAAAACAGTCAGGACAGTTCATAAGATAGTTCAGCTTTGAGAATGAAAACCAACCTGTTTGTTCCTCAGTATCTTCATGTTTGATTCTGAATGTTTCTTCACTCTTAATGTCTTCACTCTCTTCTTTAATAAACACCATCTTTGTTTGTTTCTCAGTATCTTCATGTTTGACTCTGAATGTTTCTTCAATCTTCACGTCTTCACTCTCCTCTTTAATAAACTCCATCTTTATA